TTAAATATTATAATAATAATTATAGTAGGATTATTTTGTAAATTATAATAATAAAGAGAAAAAAATGTAACATTTAATTGAGTATTATTTATTTATTTTTATATTAAACTAGTTTAAAACTTTTAATAAAACCAGTGTACGATAATATTAGGGTTTTCGGCTATGAAAAGTTGAAATACGGGCAATTTATAAAGAAAAAGATTACCAAATACTAATCATTTTTATTATTATTAGGCCCGGATCACACTGGTATTTTATCGGTTGTATACGTTTCAGCAAATTGGTCATTCTGGCCCCGATAATGCGGTTACGATGTAAYGATGTCSCGGATTTTATCTGTGTATTATGTTATTCGTGACGAATGAGTGACACGCGACGTTGGACGGGCGGTCTTATTTTGATTTCATATTTGGTAGTTAATAATTAATACTTCCGGTTACAAGTTAATACAGTGAAATGGAGCCATTAAAAAAAAAATAAAGACTTTAGATTCTTATTTTACGAAGTCAAACGAAACCAAAGTAAGTATTACTTTTGAATTATAATAATTATATTTAAATTATTTATTTTATACGCAATACGGATTAATTTAATCGGTATATTAAATTCAAAATTGTATATAATATTATTATATTAATGAATTACAATTTACAAATATTATACCACAAAAAATTATTATTATACTACTATAATATTATGATATGACACCCCCTCCCCTAATCAAAAATTTTAAATACGCCACTGGATATATGTATATATATTTCAAATAACGACGCAAAGTCAACACGAAAGTTTCGATAACATGTACAAACRACACATGCCCGCATAATAATGTTATTATTGTTATTTTTTTTTTTTATAGATAATTAATTATTTACGTTATATGACGTTGTTGACTTGTGTAGACTTTCCGCGATAAAAATAATATCTTATTATTGTAGGAGATGGTCGCAATCGTCATTCGTTGTCAGAATGTTTAAAAAAAAATAAAAGAACAAAATTAAATATTTTGAAGCATAATAACATCATAGAATAACGATAAGATGAATAACATTATAATATTATAATAATTCAACGTACGCTCCGAACAAGGYGGGCGATACATCAACCTATTAATAAAATAAAAATAAAAAATTGTATAATATTTAATAATAATAAGTGGTTGTCGTCGTGGTCGGCCCGACGCACGGCGCGATAGCGCAATCAGACAATATGTAAATTATTTACTTATTTACAATAAAAATAGTTTATTATACTAATTCCGATGCAATTATTTTTATAATATAAACTGTAGCAGTCCCTTATACAAAATAGGAAAGGGAATTGGAATCGCTTACCCGCTGCCTCGTCTGACATAATATTATATTTATCATATTTATAGAAAAGCATTGTTGAACTTTGGTGTGTGTGTGCCCTCCGCACTGGAGATATTATACCGATTATAAGCGATACTTGGCTTGTTGTCAACTGTCAACCGACGGCTAGAACGCYCGAAACCACCGATGTTATTTTTAGATTTCTAACAAATTACAATAATTAATGATATAATTATTTTATTTTATTATTATTAGAATTGTATAGAACTTACAACGGTTTACAACTGAAATTGTAAGCAACGTTTACACTACTTATATGCACGACATGCCACTGTACTAAACCTATGTTTAATTTAAATAGATCGGAAAATAACTAATCATTTTTTTCGTACTAAATAGTTGTGTATTTTGTAATAAAGTAATACCCATTTAAAAGAGTATATATTATATTTTTTGAATTAATACTAACCCTCTCTTTGCATGAATTTGTTGAAAAAATGGGTATTTTTATTCGGTATTCGTCAATTGCGCCTGAGCATTTGGCAATGACACACACTGTCTTGGTTAGTTTTAATTTTTATAATAATTATATTATATTATAATATATTAGTTAAATATTAATTTATATTATTATTAATATTAATTATATTATTTTTATAATAAT